TTTTAAAGTTTACTGTTATTTCTAATAATTCTTTGTTTATATATATAYACACACACACACCACATGTACAGTGTCGCACAATTACCTTTAATTATTTGTAGAGTTACTAAAAATACACTTCTGTTTGAACTCCAACTCAAAGTTAAACAATATAGATCTTGAATTTATTACTTTGCTATGTTATAAAAGATGGATGGTTTGGTAATTMGCAGAATACAGGAGGAAAAGCAAACACATCAAAGTGCTATTAAATAAGTGACACTATAAACTGTTTGTGTTGCTAAATCAGTGTAATAAAATTAAATAATTAAATACATGGATTACTGTCTGATAGATTGCACCACTCTTATGGAAGGTAAAAGGATTAACATGCTCCAACTCACATTGCCATTGCTGTTTTATGTAAATAACAGCATTCTTATGATTTATTCTTCAAACTTGTGATATTTCTTTTTGATATGTAACATGTAACGTGCATCCATTGGCAGTGTAATAAAATGTGCATGCTTCAGCTGCCAAAACAACTAATTTTATCAGGATTAGTGGGTTATTCCACTTAATGGATAATGAAATTAGTTATGTATTGTGTGCTCCTTTCAGTGTGTTTGTGATTGTAAACATTTTGTAGTTGGTCATTTGGTTTTATTTCTAAAAGCTTTGCTTTTGGCAGGTAATAAGCTCTTATTTTAATTGATAAATCTATTTTTTTTCTCCGATGTGTTTGTTTTGACAGCTTTTTTAATGTTCTTGTGAAGATCAACAAAAGTTAAGACCTTTCGACTTTGATATGTATTTGACAGAAAAAAAAATTAATGTAGTTATCAATAATTAATTTAATCTTAACAGCATATACTCCCTAATCGAAATTGATACGTCATGTATGGCAAAACTGAGAAGGAAATGCCCCCATTGACAGTTTTTTTTTTATTATTACAATATACAGTATGTGACTGTTTTGGAGCTGCACATATTTAAAGTGGTGTTTCTTTACTAAATCGCTATTTGTCTTTAAATAAAAGCGAATAAAGTGAAAAATGTGCCTTCCACTTCAGGCAATGCAGCACATGTGTACTATAAAAAACAGGGCACTCAAATAAAGAAAGAAAAAAAATGAGAGGATAGTAATTATTTGTTGAAACAAGTGAAGCCACTATAACTGTGTTTAGCTGCTTTTGTACTTTTTCCCATTTTGACAAATCACACCTGTTAAAAAATGAGATTGACTGAATGGGCTGATTTCCCAAAACTTGAACAATTGTTAGGAATGTTTAAGAATATTGTCTGGCTGAACCCCACATAGACATTACTGACACATGTAAACATCATTTGGCTGAGTTGCTAAGTGCTGTTCTTGTAACGATTGGCTTTGAGAAGTCACTAGAAATGGCTTTAAAGCAAAGTAGAAATATAATAAATATACTGTAAACATTTTTGTAAAAATTTAAATCAGGTAGTCAATTGCCCTGATAATCTTTGCTTACACAAAGTTTGCCTACTGCACTGATACATATCTGAAAGGAAGCGATGAATAATGTTCTCTTCATAGTTTTAGTACACATTTGAAATCACATCTTGTGAATACAGCACAGGCAAACAATGCTACTTTATTTGTTGCTGTTAAAGGTGAATCAATAGTTTAGTGGAATCATATTGTTAAGTTATACTCGAGCCCTAACTTGTGAGTGAGCTCTGAAAACAACATTCATTAGAAAGACWTTTCTTGTTTGTGATATGGACCATAAGTAAAACAATCCCAATTTAGAATGACAAGTCCCTGGCTTCTTTCATGAGGAAACACATAATATATAGATCAATGCAATCAGTACTCCTAAATACAAGACACTCTACACACACATGTTTGTTCTTCTATCCTCATGGGGACTTTGCATTGACTTCCATTCATTTACCAGTCATTTCTATAGCCAAACCCTGACCATTTACCCTAAACTTAACCTCACAGGTACATACCTGACCCTGAACCAAGCCTAAACTCAATTCACACCTTGGTCTTAACCCTAACCCCTGACCCACCAATGGCATGTCCCCCAGTGGGGACTGGGCTTTTGTTCCCATAGGTTCTCACCATGCTGTGTGTATCAGGAAGATGGTTAAAAATTGTCCCCACCAGGTAGAAAAAAAAACATTTACACACTTACACACACACCTACACACACACACACACACACACACACACACAC